ATATTGACAAAGCACTTTAAGCACAAGTTTGTTAGTTAATAATTTAGAAATGAATATTATCTGTATGGACTTCCCCCCCAATGAAAGGGCACATGTAAAACTGCGGTGTCAAGCGATGCGGTTGAAAAATTTGAGTGCGCCTAACTTTTGTGCCGGTACGCCTAGATTTTTAAAGTTAGGTGTACCGGTGCGCCCATGTCAAACAGTTAGTCTAGAGCCCTGATATATATATATATATATATAAATGAATTTAAAAATGAATCAGTTCAGTTGGGAACCAAACAAACAGGATAATCAGTGGAAATGTACATAAAAAAGAGGCAAACTAATATAACTGTCAATTTATGTCAAATTTATGAAATTAACTAATGCCCACATTTTTGAATCCTTTGATTCTTTTTGAGTCTTAATCTCTTCCTTTTGTCTTTAACCCCCATTTAACCCATTTCCCATGTAACCCCACCTCTGCAGGTGATTACACACAGAACAGTGGAGGTGGAGAGAAGCACAGATATCAGATATAAGTGTTACTAAATCGTGTGTTGTTTTCCTTTTAAAAAACAAGCTATGATTTTTGCTTTTTAGATCAGGACAGACTTGTTGAAATAACATATGGGAAACAGGAGCAGTAGGTTGCTGGTTCAGGGCTAGATGCTGGAATGGTCTCCAGTTTCTAACATCTTAATTTATTTTTTATTATTTGTATATAATAGCCGTCAAATGTCATGCACGAAATCTTAGAACAGTAATTTGTTTCATTCCGTACATGACTTAGAGGAAATTATGCATGTGATTTTTCTCAAGCAGTGAGAAATGCCTGCGTGCATGCTGAGCCATCAGAATGAATTCTTTGTAGCTGAGGAATCTGCCGGCTTCAGAGCTCTGTGTGTTTCTTGAGCAGTGGGAATAGAAATAGTCATTTTCTTTCCTACTTTTCCATTGTTGGTACTTGTTTTTTCTTAACTTTTAACTGGTTGGGCAAGTGGCATTAAAGCAACAAAGACAAACTTTCAATTAATGTAATTCCCTTATTTACTGGAGATGTATATTTATAAGGGTATTATAATTCATACACATTTCTTTATCCTCCAAACTTCAGGGCATAAATTTTTCCATTTTGCATCACAGGACTAATTTCCAGGATAATTACTTGTGAAAAAAATGACTCGACAGAAAATTAGATTTACTCGATTTGCAAATAAATAAAAACAATGGGGTTCAGATAAATCCCCTTATTGGCATTGTCCAAATTTCATTATGAAAGCCACCACAAGCTGCACTGACTGACCAGCTTTGAACATTTTGTGAATTTCAATGTCACTACAGCTGAGCTCATTTGGGAAAAGGCGAACCAAGCACACGCACAGGCTATATCCAGACATAATAAACTGTCGCCCTGTTCACAGAGGCGTGGAAAGGAGAGAACACCTCCCCAGCACATCCTCAGACACATCTGTGCCCATGCCCCTAAAATTATGTTTCTTCTGCAGTGGAAATAGGTCAGCCGTGAATACCTGGCTCCTTCCATCTCAAAAAACCCTTTAACACACTTAATTAAGAACGTAACTGTGTGGATTTTCGAGTGTGAGAGAAGTGGACTGTTTTGTTTGTTTGTGAACTTTTTGACATGCTGAGAAGATGTGCGACTCATATGTGAAAGGAGGGGATGCGTTCGGAGACGTGA